AATTCAACTGGAGCATGCAAAGGTGAGAAATATGTTCTAACAACTTTTTAAAAAGATTACCCGGTACATCAAATTTTTTGGTCTACTTATATTCATTCGTGGATACCTGAGACCATGGTAACTATTGAAACTTATTAAACACTTTTCTGCGCACGCGTATGATAGGGAGGAAGAAGTACCAGGGTATTTTGCAATATTTTCGTTCTGGTGCAGACAGAAATTATTTTTACTTTTATTTTCCCCCATAAAAATTTAATTTTTAGGTTCTGAAACCTGTAATTTTCTGAAACCTAATATTTTAAGGAATTGAACAAAATTTACAGAGGTCATGCGAAAATTCTACATTTGTCAATTTTCCCCTTTGTGCGTCACTGTGCCACTTTAATATGACTAACCATGGCTTTGCTGTTCTCTTCCCCTAACTATTATGTAAAACTGCTATTCTCCACTGTCTCCTTATTCTAACCCCGCGGTGTCATTGTTTAAACACATTGAATCTACAATACCTAAAAATGCTTTCATATTAAGATGACTTATCATGGAATTGCTGTTCTGGAAAAGATTACTAGTATTTTTCAAGATTTTTCTTAAACATTTACCCCCCCCCCCTCCCCCCGAATGTGGCTCTACTCTATCACCATTTTAACACTTTGATTCTACAATATGTAAACTGTAACGTAAGTTAAAATTTTGTTGGTTAAGTGGTTCTTAAAGGAATTCTAATTAGATATCACCAAATTTTAGATACTAGTATTACTGAAAATCTCTCCTTGGAAGAGACTATATGCCTTTCATTAGAAATTCCTTTTATCTAAGGATGCTTTATGAAAAGTTAAGTAGTAATTGTGATTCTGGAGAAGTGGTCAAAATTATGAAAAGGGTAAAGACGGAGATACAGACAGACGGACCATAGACAAAACGTAATCAGAAAAGGGTAATTATACTTCTTAAACTACCATGAAATGATTTCATGAAATAAAGTGGAGTCCTAATATATAAAAACAGCGTGAAACATTGGTTGTGAAGATATAAAGAATCTCATGATTTGCAGTTGGATGTAATTTTTATCCAACTCATTGTGTGTTTTTATTCCCTCGCCAAGGCTCGGGAATAATAAACACACATCTCCTTAGATAAACATAGGTAATCAAAGATTACGAAGCTCACCTCAACGAATGTTATCAGTTTAAGTAATGCAAATCCTACATCATATTTTCTTAATATTAAGTATTCATCCCAACAAAAATATTCTTGCAAGTTGTGCTTAACCCTCTACATGGCATATATACATTTCTATGCGTTTAGTGTGAAAAACATGTATTGTGTAAACAAATATTCATAACTGTTAAAACTGCAGATATCAAAGCAAGTTCATTCGGATTGATCTGTTCCCAAAACTTTAACCTGGTCTCTTGTTTGGAAAATATAGGTCAGATCCAGCATCCCAGGCAAGTCTGATAGTGTCCATCCTAAGATGCATCATCCATGCAAGTTTGGTTTAGCTAGGGCTTATAGTTACTTGGAAATGAAAATGTAGGTCAGATCCAGCATCCGAAGTAAGCCTGGTAGTGTCCATCCAAAGATACATCATCCATGCATGTTTGGTTTAGTTAGGGCTTACAGTTACTTGGGAATGAAAAATGTAGGTCAGATCCAGCATCCGAAGCAAGTCTGGTAGTGTCCATCCCTAGATACATCATCTATGCAAGTTTGGTCCAAATAGGGCTCATAGTTACTTGGGAATGAAAATGTAGGTCAGATCCAGCATCCGAAGCAAGTCTGGTAGTGTCCATCCCTCGATGCATCATCCATGCAAGTTTGGTTCACATAGGGCTTACATTTACTTGGGAATGAAAAATGTAGGTCAGATCCAGCATCCGAAGCAAGTCTGGTAGTGTCCATCCCTAGATACATCATCTATGCAAGTTTGGTCCAAATAGGGCTCATAGTTACTTGGGAATGAAAATGTAGGTCAGATCCAGCATCCGAAGCAAGTCTGGTAGTGTCCATCCCTCGATGCATCATCCATGCAAGTTTGGTTCACATAGGTCTTATAGTTACTTGCGAATGAAAATAAAGGTCAGATCCAGCATCGGAAGCAAGTCTGGTAGTGTCCATCCCTGGATGCATCATTCATGCAAGTTTGGTCCAAATAGGGCTTATAGTTCCTGTGGAATGGACCTGCTCCAAAAACTTTAACCTGGTCACTCATCTAGACAATGTATGTCAGATCCAGCATCCGAAGCAAGTCTGGTAGTGTACATCCCTAGATGCATCATCCATGCAAATTGGGTTCATGTAGGGCTTATAGTTCGTTGGGAATAGACCTGCTCCAAAAAACTTTAACCTGGTCACTCATCTGGAAAATGTAGGTCAGATCCAGCATCCGAAGCAAGTCTGGTAGTGTACATTCCTAGATGCATCATCCATGCAAGTTTGGTCTGGGTAGGGCTTATAATTCCTTGGGAATGGACCTGCTCCAAAAACTTTAACCTGGTCACTCATCTAGAAAATGTAGGTCAGATCCAGCATCCGAAGCAAGTCTGGTAGTGTGCATCCCTAGATGCATCATCCATGCAAGTATTGTTCAGATAGGGCTTATAGTTACTTGGGAATGGACTTGCTCCTAAAACTTTAACCTGGGACGCCGACGCCGACGCCAACGCCGGGGGTATAGCATAAGCTCATCTCGACTTCGTCGAGGTGAGCTAAAAATCATTTCCAACTACAAATCATGGGAGATCCTATATTTATTACCAGGATATAAGACGGTCAACTGTTGAGGATTACAGCGCTTCTTTAAGGTTGCTTGTACTTTCTTCAGGTGACTGGTCAGTGTCACAGGAGGAACAAACGAGTCAAACAGAAATCTAAGGGCATGTGTACCAAGCTGGGCTAACAGATAATAACGTAGAAAATTGTTTTCCTCGTCTGTAAGTGTGTTTGGAGTTCCTAAAAATATATAAAATCAAAAGGGTAATGGAAAAAATCATAATGATGGATACTGGTAGATGTTTTTGAACAAACAGAGAGCACATAGGTATAATCTGGAATATTCATTAATCAATAAATGAAAAAATATACTCTTAATGAAAACAAAAATGACTATTATTCTCTGGAATTATTGTTTTAAAAAATCAGTTGTCTGGCAAATAACTTGCATTTTAAATAAAATTACATAAGATTTTTCAGGAAAATCATGAAATCATTATTTGAATGATTCAAGTGTTGATAAAGTGTGGTTGTTAAAATTGTTTAAGTTATTTATACTAAAACTTAGAATAATTTTTGTTGAAAAAAATATAAATAAACGATAAACTCTTCAGCATTTTTAAAGTGCATTTGCTTTTCTGTTGCATATTATTGGTTTAATTTAATGATAAACTCAAAATTTGTGCATTCCGTTTTTCTCTCACCAAGTACGTTACTGACAGGCACTGTTACTGCACAGTTTGATGTTATCGTCGACGAGGTTGAAACTGTACTCAGTATATTACTAGTGGGGGTTACAAGACTTGAGACGGCAACACTCCAAATACTGGATGTTGTCACAACTTGACTTGACGAGGTGCTTATTACTGAGAAACTTGGAACCTGATTGGATGAGCTGGAAGTCACTTGAGAAAATGTTGCTGCTGAACATATTGGTGTTGCTACTGAGGAAGATGATAAGGTGCTTGATTTTGCAGGGAATGCTGTTGGCAATGTTCCAATGATTGACGTTAATTTAGTTGTCGGTACTGTTGATGTTGAACCACGTGTTGTTATTGCTGTCTGAGTTGATGTTATTGTTGACGTTGTACCATGTGTTGTTATAGTCATGCTAGTTATTGGTACTGTTGATGTGCCATTTGTTATTACTGGTATGTTATTTATCGGTAATGTTGATGTTGATGCATTTGTTGTTGTTGCTATGTTACTTGTTGGTACTGTTGCTCCATGTGTTGTTTTAGGCATTTTAGTTGTTGTTACTGTTGACGTTGTGCCATGTGTTGTTATGGCTAAGTTAGTTGTTGATAACGTTGTTGGCACAGTTATTGATGATCTATTATTATGTAGAGGTGAGGTGGTAGATGACACATTCAGGGTGTGACAAGATTGGGTAACTGCCGTGTCACAGGAAGATGAAGCTGTCGTTATTACTGAAGCTGATGGTTGTATACTGGAAGCTGTTGACGTCACTACAGGTAATTCTGAAGAAAAGGATAGTGACAAAATTTTGGAAGGGACATCTTTTCTCATCATAACAATGTACTTCATCTGCTTAATATTCGTACAGAGGAAAAGAAGAAGAATTTTAATGAAAGAATGCAGTTTCAGTATATGAGAATTGGATCCCTAAAATCTGCAGGACCCCTCTGGTAGGAGTCATGATTTTTTTTTTGTTATAAAATTTGGTTGTAGTCTAATTTCTTATTTCAATCATTACAGCAATTTTTACGGAAGCCCAATAGTGCAAACCAAAAATAAATAAAGAAAAAAGGAAAATATTAAATAAAGAGAAACGAAATTATTAAAGAAAGAAAAACGAAATTAATATATAAAGAAAAACGAAATTATTAAATAAAGGAAAACGAAATTATTAAATAAAGAAAAACGAATTTAATATATAAAGAAAAACGAAATTATTAAATAAAGGAAAACGAAATTATTAAATAAAGAAAAACAAAATTAATATATAAAGAGAAACGAAATTAATATATACAGAAAAACGTAATTATTAAATAAAGAGAAACGAAATTATTAAATAAAGAAAAACGAAATTAATATATAAAGAAAAACGAAATTAATATATAAAGAAACACGGAATTAATATATAAAGAAAAACGAAATTATTAAATAGATCATTTTGTTTTTCTTTATTTAATGATTTCGTTTTTCTTTATTCAATAATTTCGTTTTCTACTTTTAATAATTTCGTTTTTCTTTACATATTAATTTTGTTTTTCAAGTAGAAATAAGGAATTTAGAGATATGCAAGGTAAGGGCCTGAACCCATAAATCATTAGCGCACGCGTCTGTTAGCCTTGATTTTGTTTCGACAATTTACAAGTGTGATGTTTGCCTTTGCACTCACCGACTCCCAAATCGAATGCATAACCATTACAATAATTGAATGGGGAGAATTTAACCTTTGCTATCTAATAGTAATATGCTTAGATTTGTGTTTTTATCTTACAATAACACGATGAATGTGAACTTAGCCAGTCTCATAATTTGGCCAGTGATTAATTCGGTGAGATGTTGACGTTAAAAATTTGTTAACATTAGCTTTCTCAAATCCTCTGCTCGAAATGTCTAATGATCAGCAAATGATGAATCTGGACACGTTAATAATCACTTTGAACATGAAACATTAAAGAAATTATCCTAATAAATTTCACAATATTTAAGATAAGCATGAAGGTTAAGAATTAGATTACGTTATTTACAACATGTACTGTTGAATTTTTAACATTTATGTAATCCCCATGGCTTTACATTACATGCATTAGAAAAAAACGTATAATAATACGTAATATCGGACTTTGTGAGTTTGTTTGATATATTGTAAAAAAATGTTTAAAGATAACAAGTGCAAAACTTAAAACAAGTCAAAGTGGTTACAATAAGTAGATTTTAACGATTGCTTACTATATTAGAAATAAAGCAAAACACTTCTGATTTCTTGGTTTTAATGAATGTCAAACTTTCAATCTGAATTATTCGTGTCAGTGGTAGTACATGACTACTATAATACTTGATTCACATATTCTAAATGGCATACTCTCAATCTGTATTTATAAATCAGTTATGTTTGTGACCAAACAATGCCCACACTTGCACAAAACAAATCCCACAAAATAATCAAATCAATTTTCTCTTTATAGTTTCAACAACCTATGATTTATAGTACACAGATAGGACGCTAGGTTAAGTTCGAGGGAATTCAGTAATACGATACTCAAGGTCTTGATCATGACCTTCTCGCGATTCATGAGCTTTATTGGAATGTCATTAAGTCTGTGCAAACAGAAACAGCCACCCTCGTTAAGTCAAGGCTTACAGACTCCAACAATGATGTGGGGATACATGTATGACACAACATATAAACAAAATTGAATAATTTATGAATTGTTCACGGAAATGGGAATTTTCGGCCGTGTGTACATATTTTTTCTACGTTTGTTAATTTGACATTTATATGATCTTTAATTTTTCATTTCCACTACACATTTGTAATTTCGATATAAGGCGTAAAGAGTTACGAGGTGATGCTTTATAGCATGTGCGCTTTATGGAATGATTCATGGGTTCAGGTTGCACAACAATATTACATCCTGCTATATATTTTTACCAAAAATGCGCAAGTTGGACATGTTGGAGTAGGTGTAATTAATTCAAAACAAACTTCTCAGAAGTTTCCTTTTCAGATCTTGTAAAACCATTCTTTATAAAGATTTTAGTACCAAAAAATACATAGCCATCCTGCAAGGCACACAAGTTTGTTTCGGTCGAAGTCGAGCAGGTGTTTGAAAATGCAGTCCAGGGCCTAATCACTCCCCACACTTGACAGTATGTAGAAAAATCAGCACGCCCTAAATTTTAATAAATCTAGTCAATACAGGAAGTTTACATGTTGTTTTTCATCTCATAAAAAAATTCAGCTCCAGTCTCGTATAAAAATGCCAGAATCGGAAGGGAAGATTCCAGGATTATTTTGCGTCAGCCATGATTTACTGTTACGACACCTGCAGGTTCTTACCATGCACATATTTAAATTCCGTATTTTAGTTTCAGTTTTCTACTTGAAAAACAAAATTAATATATAAAGAGAAACGGAATTTATATATAAAGAAAAACGAAAATATTAAAAGTAGAAAACGTAATTATTAAATAAAGGAAAGGGAAATTATTAAATAGAGAGGAAACGAAATTAATGTATAAAGAAAAACGAAATTAATATATAAAGATAAACGAACTGATTTATTTAATAATTTCGTTTTTCTTTATTTAATAATTTCGTTTTTCTTTATATATTAATTTCGTTTTTCTGTTTTTTTTTTTTAATAATTTCGTTTCCGTTTATATAATAATTTCGTTTTTCTTTATATATTAATTTCGTTTCTCTTTATATATTAATTTCGTTTCTCTTTATTTATTTTTGAATTTTACTGCTTGAAGTTCAGGAGAAATTTTTTTTTCTAAAAATAGCAATTATTTTTATGGTTTAAACCACTCCTCAGAGGGGGCATTGTATTTCAAAATTTTTGATCCCCATCACCCACAGATGTTACATTGATTAAAATTTGTTCATCAGTTTAAGAGAATGATCTGAAAATGTAAACGCACAGACTAAAACAGAAAACAAAAGGTCACCTGAATGACTCGGCTGAATTTAAAAAAACATCAAGGTACCTTTAGGGATTTTTGCTTTCATTTTCTTCGTAATTTTGCAATGATGTCCATAACTGGTTTGATTGTGACTCTTCCGTTTTCGTCCTGGACATGTAGTATTAAATGGATGAAGTTTACATAAGGTCTTTTTCTGTTTCTTCTCTGAAAGTTGAAGTTAATATGATTAATTACAAGAGGGCAGAAAAATTACTTTTTGGTAAGTTGTATCAACTGACAAAGATTGATGATTCTTAATCTCTTATTTTCTGACTACATTGTATTTAGTTGTGATATTAAAAATTTACGTTACCGTGACCCCATTTTTTGGTATGCATACTCTTACAACCCAAAATGCAACATTTGACAAAATAAGTTGATGTTTAATCATCTTAGCATTCTAAATATTGAGTAACAACTATAAGTTTTCAAAAGAAGTGCACTGCGATTTACTTTTGATTAATACGATGTGGACCCAATATTCATTAACTGACATTTTTTTTCTTTTGAGCGTTTATCATTATAATCATAAATTAAGAAATACGAGTATAAGTGTGAAATTTCAAAAACCACAGTAACGTACTTTTTTGTTCATCAACTCTTAAAACCGACGATGCATTTAATGACAAAGTTTGAAAATCCAAAGACTATGTTTCCCATTTAGTTTAATTTTAGGTATAGCTATATAGAATTCCAAAATTTGGGCACGGTGATCTACATTTGAGGACCCAAGATAGATCAACTGACATAGTTTGATCATTCTAAGCCATCTTAAATCTGAAATATTTAATTATAGTCATTAAATTTCCAAACTATGACAATGTGACCTACATTTTTTGGTCCAAATTATGCAACTGAAACAATTTGACAAAAATACCTAGAACCATATGAAACCGAGAACATTAATTTTTCAGTAGTTATTAAGAAGGCTAGAAATATTTTCAATTTAATATGCAACCAGTTGCCTCTGAAGTGTTCTTGGCTGTAAAGGATATTATACAACCATGTTTATTGAATACCGGTATTAAAGCATGGTCAACTTCGTTCAAAGACTCTTTATACTGAATCCCATGGACATAAACTTTCAAACATTTTGAGAGGAACCCAGAAGCTTGAACCGTGGACATGGAACATATATTTTGTCAACTTGATAGAGACCCTATAGTGTTCATAATTATATTGTAATCAGTTTGCCAATTAAACATCTACAGGTATAAGAATGGAAATCTTCATGAATTTAATGACTTTAGACCCAATCTTCCCACCCCCGAAACACATGCTGTTTTTGTCTCACTCATAGATGCTATTAATTACAACTAGCATTTATCAAAACTCCACAAACGACGCACGGAGATAAATAAACCATAACATGTATGTATCAACTAAGTGACTGATGATATTTGATATTTCATTCGCAAACAGTGTCATTTAATATAATAAAAGTTACCCTTCTCTCTGTATTCTTTTATTGCCTTTAATATCTTGTGTCTTTGACCAAATGTACCGACTCCAAGCTCACGAAGATCTGCGTGGTTAAGATCCATCAAAATCTCTATGGTAACCCTTTCTTTGACAAACAGAGATATTAAAGTCCCTTCACCTATTTTTCTCAAAAGTCTACAAACATCCTGGTCAAAGTCAGAATCATCTGTCTTTTCTTCTCCGTCATCTTGGGTTTCTTTGCTCTGACTGGCGCCTTTCTTCTCACCTTGACCTTTCTCAAGTCGGGATACTAGCTCTTCTTCTCTTTTGGCTTTACCTGGTACCTCGTCTTTGGTATTTATTTCTTGACCGGGATCTTTTGTATCCATAGTATTGCTGGCATGTATGAATTATATTAAGTAACGTGATATGGAATAAACCAAACTCCAGAAAATATCAAAACATTTTTTAAACAAGAAGCCAATGTGCCACATCGTTCACCTGAGCATTGTTGCTAGAAAAAAGGAGGAATCAGTTTACTCCGTATGCAGATGATGAGGTAAATTGCTGCATAAGTTAAGGGAAGTTGACGATAGAAAAGTTGAAGTCATCACATTATAATTAATCATAAATACGAAGCCTGAGAAGAAGTCTTTTATATACAAAAAATTGTATACAAAAGATTAAAATACCATTGTATAAATAGTATTTAATTGCTGCATTGCGGGTCCACATTTTTTCATACTTCAGTCAAAGATGTATAGATATTTAGTTTTACAACGATACAACGCTAACAATTTCTTCTTGAGAGGTAGGTTCATATTTTTAAATGTAATTTTTTGGATACTGCATTTAAAACGTAAAAGTCATAAGAATTTGGATGAAGTAATGCTTTCTGTTACTGTATTCTAGTAGTGCTGAGTATACAGATACTCAAGCGTGTATTGTCCTGTTTTTGTGCAATTTACTAAGTTATGTACGCATGTAGGGTTGTGTTTAAATTATAATTTATTTTTTTTATGATTTCGGTGTTACGGTTTTGGGTTTAATTGTTAAAACCACGTTTATTAAAAAATGTGTATAAAATATAACAGTGTTTGGTTAGGTTTTCCAGTACTGTTTGTATAGTGTGCCATAAGTGTAATTGTAGTCAGTATTGACTAGTTTTTTTAGTATACATAAATTGTGACACAAAATATTATTT